AGATTTTTGCTCCCCAAAAAATGGCCCTGTAAAAAAAAAAAAAAAAAGACAGGGTGGGGGCAGAAAGAGGGAAGGCATTAATGGACGTATCAATACCACAAACTTAAACTAGTTTTAAACTGATTTTTATGGGCATTTTCTCATGTAATGTTTTTAAAATGTGCTTGTCATATGTCATTTTTTAAAATACAAAAGTAGGAAAGTGTTCCATTCTACGGAAATAACCCATTCTGAAATCAAACATATGTGCTTTTCGGGTATCATTTCCATTCTGGTTAAATCGGTCAAATCAGTAAAGTAAAGTAAAATACAAGTTACATGTATGTCAATACCTGAACAATCACAATTAGCTTTTCATAACATGATATCCTCACACTGGCTGTGAACTCTGGGAGCTGAAGACAAACAAACTACAGTGGTGCCTCGCATAGCGAGGTTAATCCAGAACGGATTAACTTTCGCTATGGCGAAACATCGCTGAACGGAACGGGGAAAGCCATCGGAACGCATTAAACTTAGTTTAATGTGTTCCAATAGGATCCAAAACTCACCGTTCAGCGAAGTTGTCCCATAGCCGGCAGCCATTTTCGCGCCCTCAGTAAGCTGCGCGCGGCCATTTCGGGGCTTCCGGCGGCCATTTTGGAACCGCCGAACAGCTGATCGTCGGGCATCGCTTTGCGAAGATTGGTAAGCGAAACGCTTACCGATCATCGCAAAGCGAGTTTTGCCCATAGGGGCCATCGGTATGCGATCGCATTTGCGATCGCTAAAACCTCTTCGCTATGCGATTTCGTCATTCTACAGTGCACTCGTTAAGCGAGGCACCACTGTACTTTGATGAAGGTTGATCTAACTCATCTAACTAACTACATCTAACTAACTATTCGAATTTCCAGTCCTTTCTCCCTGCCTGTTAATGGATGTATCAATACCACAAACTTAAACTAGCTTTAAACTGATTTTTATGAGCATTTTCTCATGTAATGTTTTAAAAATGTGCTTGTCGTATGTCCTTTCTCCCTGCCTTTTTGCCTTCGGAGGTTTCAAACGGCTTCCTCCGATGTCGCGGGGAAAGCCATTTGAGACCCCCGAAGGTGCCGATCGCTCCATCCGCAAAAAATGGCATTGACTTGTGAATGGAGCCTCGACCTTGTTTGTAGGTCGAGGCTCCATTCGCAAGTCAATGCCAATTTTTGCGAACGGAACCGTTCATAAATCAAAAAGTTCATATGTAGGGACATTCGTAAGTTGAGGATTGACTGTAACTTGACAGTAAATGCCACTACATTATGGGACACCAGCTTCCATAATTTAGTTATGTACCATGTAACAAAGCATTTTATTTTTCTGTTTTTTCCAGATGGCATTTTCCATCTCCTCTACCTTTATTTTTATGTATTAATCAATAAATTAATAAACTTGGGACTTAAAATTGTAGCATTACTGGAGAGAGAGAAGGAAGAAGGAAAGACATCCATCTACCCACTTTCTCCATGTCTTGCATAATTTGATATAAACTCACCAGTTCCCCTTTAATCCTATTTTCCCCCTAAATTAAAAAACAAACAAACAAATGTATATCCATATACAACTAGAAATGCAAATAAAGTTGCTAGAGTTTCTGAACAGCCAAAAAAAAGAAAAGAGAAAAAGAAAGAAAGAAAGAAAGAAAGAAAGAAAGAAAGAAAGAAAGAAAGAAAGAAAGAAAGAAAGAAAGAAAGAAAGAAAGAAAGAAAGAATGTAAAAGAAGCTACATCACTCCTTTTCCCCATACACCTCAATCTTGGCGAACTAGCTATACCAGCCCAGCCAGTGTCCTCAAGAGGTGTATGGAAGACTGGTGCAGGATAGGGCATGTCCTCTAGTCTGATGGGCATCAGCAGCAGCAAGCCAGAAGATGAGAAAAGAGACACTAGTAGAAGGATTGTTACTCACCATCCATCCAGTCCCACAACATAATAATAATCATGTGCTACCAAGTCCATTCTGACTTGTGGAAACCCCTTTTCAGGGTTTTCCAGGTAGAGAATACTCAGAGGTGGCTTATCATTCCCTTCTTCTGGGGCTGCCGTGAGACTGGGCAGCTTGCCCAAGGCCACATAGGCTGGATCTATTCACAGAACACCCAGTGAGAACTCCCAAACTCTGGCTTCACAGCCAGATACCTAAACCACTGAGCCACGACAGACCTCTGATAGATTTGTGCAGCGATAGCTGTAGTTCTGGACTAGAACTCCAGGTCATGCTGCCTGGTGAATTCTGAGAGCTGGTGTCTAAAAATATTAACCCACACACGCCATCGACTACAGCATCCTTCTCCAATGCAGGTTCTTCCTACAAATTCCAAAGGAGCTTAAAATAGGGATAGGAATAAGTTAATCTGGCTGGATAGCTAGCTCAATGGTTTAGGTATCTGGCTGCGGAGCCAGAGGCCGGGAGCTCAATTCCCCCACTGTGCCGCCTACAATGACAGCCAGCCTGTGTGGCTTTGGGCAAGCTGCGCTGTCCCCAGGGTGCGACCAGAAGAAGGCTTTCTGAGTATTCTCTACCTGGAAAAACCCTGAAAAGGATTGCCATAAACCAGAATTGACATGACAGCACATGATGAGATGAAGAACAACTTGTGGGCTTTCCAAGGTGAGTGCCTGGTAAACGCACATCCACTTTAGCAAGTTTGGGGATGGTGAGCGCTTTAGTAAAATAACATCTGGATGGCTAATGTTCCTCCGATCTCTAATCTAAAAGCTCACCCTTGTTGGATCGCTATGAATGAACCAGTGCCTCACCTTGATCCGCATAGTTTCGTGCTTTCCCCTCTAAGACACGGCTCTGTCCTTCTAGCCGGCCCACGGCTGCCAAATGCGCCTTGCGTTCTTGCTCCATCACATCCTCCAGCTCCATGAACCGCTGTGGGGAAAGAGACCAAGAGTCCAGGCACCTGCTATCTATGAAATCCTAGCCCTGTTGAGACTTCTCTTCCAAACTTTGTGAGATCTCGTTTACTGCTTCTCCGCACTCTTAACAACACAGCTGATCTCCAGTGTTGGTCAGACTTACTCCCACCCAAATGCACAGACCTGGAGAAAGTTAGTTTCTTGACTACTGCGATCAGAGTGCTAGAATGGCCATGAGGGCTGTGGGAGTCTGGAAAGGGTCATCCACTTTCCCCATTTCTGTTCATGCAGAGGAGAACGGTGATTACTGATTTAAAGGAGAAGGGAAGGAGAAGTGATTAAGTTTCCTTAGAAGTTGGAATGGTGGGGAAGGAACTCTTGTTCATTCCCACTGTGAAACCACAAAACCCAAGGGCAGCCCTTAAAGTTGGCAGGGTATGACACCATTGGACAAAACAAGAGGGATTCTTCTGAACAGCAAGCATTATCAACCTGGGGAATTCCTCATCACATGACATTGCAATAGCAGCTAGCCTAAAATACTGCTTTTTTTTTAAAAAAGCACTGTTTAAAGGAGTACGTGAGGGGTGGGCTCTACCAGCAGCTACAACCTCTGATGCCCCAAAGCATAATCCCGGTTTCAGATACAGTGTGCCTTCCCTCAGCAGAAGATAAGAAGCAAAATGCCTATCAAGTCCTGCATTCTGTTCAAACAAAGGTCAGCCAATTGCCAGTGAGAAACCCCAAAGCAGGCGGTGAGTACAAATAACATCCCAACAGCTGAGACTAACAGGACACAACAAGCCCAGCCCAGTAGTCATGGACAGCCTTGTCCTTCACAAATGCGTCTAACCTCCTTTTGAAATTCACCAGGGTGATTCTTGATCATGAGTTCCACAGGATAATTATGAGCCATGTGCAAACCTTCTTCTCTTCTCTGCTCAGACAACCAGTCAACTTCATGGGATGAGCCCAGGTTTTATATATTTCTATTGCGCTCTCAGTAGGGAAAGATTATATACTGGCATGCTTTTTAACAGAGAAAAGAGGTGGAGATGGAAGGGGATTGCCCATGATCATGTTTGGGGCTTGTTTAGCCTTGAGAAAAGAAGACTGAGGGAAGATATAATAGCACTTTTCAAAAACTTGAAAGGCAATCATACAGAGGTTGGGCAGTATCTATTCTTGATCATCCCAGACTGCAGAACATGTAATGACGTGCTAAAGCTACAAGAAGCCAGATTTAGGCTGAATATCAGGAAAAACTTCTTAAGTGTTAGAGCAGTACAACAATGGAACCAATTACCTCAGGAGGTGGTGAGCGCTCCAACGTTGGAGGCCTTCAAGAGAAAACTGGACAACCAACTGTCAGATCTGCATTGATTTGGATTCCTGCATTGAGCAGGGCGTTAAGACTTGATGGCTTTATATGCCCCCTCCAATTCAATCATTCTATGATTCTATTATCATTCTGGTTGCCGTTTTCCAATATCCCTTTTCAGGTACACTGGTCTAAACAGTATACAGTGTGGAGTTCCAAATGTGATTACACAGCAGATTCGTATGTTCAGACCTATGACTGCACAGAAAATAATCTGAGTAATAAATAACAATCATGTGCCAACAAGTCAATTTTGACTTATGGTGACCTTTTTGCCATTTTCCGGGCAGAGAATACTCAGACGTGGTTTACTATTCCCTTCTTCTGAGGGAACCCTCGAACTGTGCAGCTTGCCCACACCACAGCCGGCTGGCTCTACTCCTAAGAGGTACAAAGGGGAATTGAAATCCCATTGTTTGGCTCTACAGTCAGATACCTAAACCACTGAGATATTCAACCAGCTGAAAATCTAAATAGATTTGTATAAAATCATTCTGACACTGGCAGTCCTGTGTTTATTCTGTTTCTAGTGAGATCCAGTATGGAATTTGTTAGGGACGTGCTTATTTGTTGCTTTGGACTACAACTCCCAGAATTCGCTAAGCAGCAAAAACAGAGGCCAGCCCATCTCTCCTTTCCCAGTAGTCACCCACTAGGTCAGTGTTTCCAATAAACTATCCACCATGCTAACATTGCTTTCTTAGTCAGTCATCAGTAGCTGACACCCCAGGCAATATAAATTAAAAATTAGGATATGATGATCTGATGGAATTCACTTTACACTTGTTTACTTTCAGACCCTAGGTGGTAGGTATCTTTTTAAGGATAGGGAATAATTTGCCCACCAAATATTATGGACTGCAACTTAGCCCACTTAGTTTGAAAGGCCTTCAAGAGAAAATTGGGCATCTGTCAGATCAGCTTTGCTTTGGATTCCTGCACTGAGCAAGTGGTTGGACTCAATGGCCCTTCCAGCTCCATTATTTTATGATTCTATAAAATGGTGGTTTCTGTTTCTTTTGCCAGGATGTCTCATGGTTCCCTACATCACATCAATCTTTCTTGATTGATTTTTGGAGAACCCCTTTCATCTGTTGCTGGGTTTGTAGCCAAAATGATTGCCACTGCAAAGCACCAACTTCTATGACTACCAGCTTTGACCAGATACAGGGCTGCGATAAAATGGTGGTTTCTGTTTCATTTGCCAGGATGTCCCATGGTTCCCTACATCACGTCAATCTTTCTTGATTGATTTTTGGAGAACCCCTTTCATCTGTTGCTGGGTTTGTAGCCAAAATGATTGCCACTGCAAAGCACCAACTTCTATGACTACCAGCTTTGACCAGATACAGGGCTGCTGAAGGGGAAAGGGCTTGACTCCTTCATCCCCAGGGCTCAGCTCCAGATTGGCCTGCCAGGCATTTCTGGTTGTTGGCCATGAAACCTATAAACACTCAGTTGCCTTTTGCAGTAGGATGGCCACATGAAATAGACGCAGTGTTTCTGAAACTGGGGTCCCCAGGTGTTCTTGGACTGCAATTCCCAGAAGCCTTCACCACTTGCTGTGTGGCCAAGATTTCTGGGAGTTGCAGTCCAAGAACATCTGGAGACCCCAGTTTGAGAAACACTGAAATAGAGGACAAGACTCCTGTGCCTTGAAGAGGAAACAAATGCAATTACTTCTTCCCCAGAGCCCTATGCTCTTTTTATTTAATAACCACGAGCTGTCAAGCCAATTCTGACCTATGGTGACCCTTTTCAGGGCTTAACAAGTACAGACTACTTAGAAGTGGCTTACCATTCTTCTCTTTGGAGGTAGCAGGAGCTGTGCAGCTTGCCCAAGGCCATACAGGCTGGCTTTATTCAGCCAGCTCCTTTTCATTTGGCCACCCTATTTTGTTGTTTCCATTCAGCACCTACCGCATGGTAACTTACGATTAAATAACAGAGTTAGGAACGGACCACAAATCCTTGGAGGACTCTGGAGCAGTAGCACAAAAACAAATTGAATCTTTTCATGCTCTGCTGAACAGGCTAGAGCTGTGCAGTTTGCCCAAGGCCATACAGGCTGGCTTTATTCAGCCAGCTCCTTTTTATTTGGCCACCCTATTTTGTTGTTTCCGTTCAGCACCTACTGCATAGTAACTTACGATTAAATAACAAGAGTTAGGAACGGACCACAAAGCCTTGGAGGACTCTGGAGCAGTAGCACCAAAAAAAAATTGAATCTTTTCATGCTCTGCTGAACAAATGCTTAGAAATAGTAGAGGCAGCAACACAGGTTGAATATAGGAGATACCCACCTCCTCTGCCCGTTTGCGCCCCGTTCGCTCTCGCTCATATTGTTCTAGCAGCCGCAGCCGGTCATCTCTTAACCGTTCCAGAGCCTGGTCTCGCTCTCGCACCTGCCCACAAGCTCCTTGCAGGGACTCCAGAACGGAGACTAGCTGCGGCAGGAGGCCAGACACTGCTCCAGGCCCATAGGCCCCTACGAGCCGTTCCAGTTCGCTGTACAGCCCCCCAGCCATGGCAGACACCAGCTCTTCATAAGGGGCAGGGCTGGGATCCCCATCTCCTCCAAAGGTCTCCTCCGGGTCATCCATGGCCAGCTGCTCTGACCACTACACTCTCCAGCCTCTGTCACTCCCTTGCTCTAATCTGCCAGATCTCCTACTTGCTAAGCACAAAATCTCTTGCGTCCTGATTTAGAAAGCCTGATGATATTCTCAATATCAATATTAATTACTCTTCACAAGCCCCTTCCATCCAGGACCCCCTAATTCTTCCTGTTCCAGCGAACCCAGGAACTTTTGTGCCTTGCTTACTACCTTCTCCCATAGACTCTCCCCACAGGTCTTCACCCCCTTTTTAACCTCCAGGCACTAAACACGTGTACAATCCCTTACTGCAAACCACTAGTCACTACTCTCCCTTAGACGGTGCCCCAAATACACACTTCTTTCCCCGGATTTTTTTCTGGCTCTGTGCCCTCTAACCTCTGGCCCTCTTCTCCTTGGGAGCCCAGGAGGCTTAGGCTCGCTCCTCCCCTCCCACCTCCAGGAGAGGAGGAAGCAAACCCTCCCGTATCCCTGCGTAGGTTCTGCCTCCCCCCTCCCCGATCGCTGAGACCTCAACTCCCCTTCAGGTCCGGCCGCTAAGATTCCCAACTTCGGATCACTTTCCAAGAGGGGAGGAAAGGCGGAGGCAGGAGCCCACAGCCCACCAATGGCGGACGAGGAAAGTGCCAAGAGTGGCCAATGGCGCGCCGAGATGTGACCGACGGGCCAATGACGTAAAGAGGTGGTTGGCTTCCTCCGAAGGGCCGGCCGGGGAGAGCTCGGGAAGGGGGGGCAGGGCCCGAGGGAGGTAATATTAAGTTTCTGTAATCACATGATACTGGGTCATATGACCTCTCAAAGCTGCTTGAGTGTGTGTGTGTGGAGGATAGGCACGTTTAAGTTCTGCTTTCCTTTTGGCTGAGTTTTGTTTTGTTTTTATTTACTATTGGGAGGTTTTTTTTTATTAGAGCCACTTATTGTTCTAGGTTATTTTCAGATATATTATTCTTTTACGTTCAGATCCTTCCCATTTCCAGTTGAGCCAGAGCGACTTTCTTTAACTTTTGGAAATTTGGTTGCTAGGGTGACCTCAAATAACAGGAATAACAAAACAATACGTGTTGTTGTATGCAGCAGTATATTTCCCTATAATGGCTGAGATTGTTAAGTGTCTTCTTGTGAGTTTCAGTGGTAGTTGGTTGACTATTATTTATTTATTTAGTTAGTTAGTTAGTTAGTTAGTTATTTTATATCCCGCCTATCTGGTCGGTTAAGACCACTCTAGTTCTTGACTTTCCTGTGTTACTTCAAGTACTTTTGTCGCCTTTTTGATAGAGGTGGTTGGATTAGTGTGCTTCAGCAAAGCCAAAGTGTTGGATCGCCTTGGACTGACATTCATTTTAGTGTGAGTTTTCATGGACCATAATGGCCTCTTTTTTTGTCCGAATAGGGTTGTTGTAATCCATGAACTTCATAGTAATACATTTGTTAATTTTAAAGGTGCCCCAATACTTTTTTTAATTTGGTTTTTTATAAAATGTTTGTGTGAGAGAGTGAATTGTGCATCATGCTGCAGGGCTTGTATTTATTAAATTTGGAAGTAGAACTAGCTCTAGTAATAATTACAAGTATTGCTCTGTCAGTAAGTTGTCTTGATTTTTGCTATTTAAGATAAATTGGGGGAAAATAATTTAAAAGGTCAGCAATGCTGTATATAAAAGGGAGTTTTATGTGGGCTTACAGCAAGCATTATTAAGAAATTGCAGAAACCAAAGCTCTACAACTTAACCAGCTAATAGTAGAATAACCATTCACATCCTAAACAGTTCCTCTTTCAATGAATTAGAGATTCCGACAGCTATAAATACTCAGCTATCCAACAAACAGCAACAGAACATGGACAGAGTTCCTACTCCAGTCCTCTGAAGATGCCGGCCACAGAGACGGGCGAAATGTCAGGAAGAACAACTTTCAGAACGTGGCCAAAGAGCCCGAAAAACCCACAACAACCATCAGATCCCAGCCTTGAAAGCCTTCGAGATTACATTGAATTAGAAATTCTTAAAAAGAACTGAGGACTGTTTCTAGCCTAACAATCAGATTTGAGTGACTGTAATTATCTGTTCCTATACTGGCTGTAATATAATGCATCAAAAAGGTTCCAGTTGGGGAAACCTGTACATTATGTTAGAACATTTTGAATGAGTAAGATAAATCTACCCCAGTATTTCACACACCTTTAAAAATGTCAGATTTTAAAAGAAACATAAATAGGGGATTTCCTCTATTTCCCCAGTCCCCCCCCTTTTAGAAAGTATACGTGTGGGAAACTCTATGAGTTTCTCTCTCAATTTTCCATTTTTTTTCTCAGACCTTCTCATTTCTGTTGTGTTCCCATAGAGACAGGCAGCAGATGTTAGCTTAGAAAATTTCTCTGGAAACATTTAGGTTTTCCCTGAAAAGTTCATAGGCCCTCCTCCCAAGTGTAGATGAAGTTGTAGCCATACAATCCAGTCTTATCCATCAATCTCTCCCAATCTGGGAGGTTCTAGATATGATAGACTACAGCACCCATCATCCATAGCAAACACACTTGCTTGAGATGGTAGGAGTTCTGTCATGCACATTTGCAAGCTGCTATACATTTCTATTAGAAAGTAAGGACCTGTAGTGTTCAGAGGGCTTGGTTCCCCATTCACGGGTGATGGAAATTAAGGATATGCTGCAGCTTTTTGAAGTTGTTCTCCTTCACTAGAATAGTAACAGATGTTGTTTTTGTTACATTCAGAGGTGAAACTACTTTGGCCAACACCAAATGAGTCTTTGACAGGACTTTAACCCCGTCCTTCACATCCAAGCCCAGGCCATTCCCGTTCGCTGTCTTTCAAAGAAAGAAGCCTTTGTTCCTCTGGAAAAGATGTCTGCAAGGTTTTGACACTGGTGCTTTCGTTACACAGAATGGAAAAAGCCAGTTGCAGTTGAAGGAGGAATTGCGTTCACAAGGAGTGCAAATACTTTTGCTCGTTTTGGAGGCCTTGCCGTGAGGTTTTTCTTGCTACAAAAAATTTGCAAAGGTTAAAGAAAACTCTATTTGGATTAGATTTACCTAATCTTCGTACCCCTACCCCACCTCCTTTTAAAGGGGGTCTCTGGGGTTGCAGTGCCTTGAAACAGCAAACGTCTAGTATTTTCTCTAGGGAGATCTCAGCCATTAGGAGGAGGTGTTTAAATGGGTCACTGAGGGATATAAAAGTTTGATCCACATGTTCTGAGAGCAGTACTGCTGCTGACTCCTTTTGAATGAATCCTAAGGAAGCTCTAGGAATGCTGGAATCTCATGACACCGGCAAATTGTGTGAGGAGTTCCCATAACGGTTCTATGTGCCTCCAGTGCGACCTGCAGTATTGCTGATGTGCTGCTTTGGCACATGATCCGTGGATCTTGAATGATTCTGTTGTTCAAAGACTACCAAAATGATCTGGACCAGCTCCAGGGAAGCAGCTTTTGCGCCACATGAGTAATGTGAGTCAGGCATTTGTAGGAAAAGAAAGCCTTACACAAGAAAGTTCTTACACAGTATAAATGCAGAAGAGGTGATACCTTTATTAGGACACCTTGTAACCTTGCTTCAGTTTGCAAACTGGCTGACGTTTCTCCTGTAAGGGTACAGGGTTCAAAGCACATTTTGGGGGGGAAAAAAAGCATAGTACAAGGAATGCCTGCAAACCAAGCTGCCTCAGAATAGCCCTGCTTAGTGGTATCATCACCCCTCCCAACTTTTTTCCTGTCTTGATTGGCTGTCTATACACAGGTGAGCAGGAAGTCTTTTATTATGCCAGCATGATTGACAGATATACACTAGAGGCATGTGTATGTGCGTTCCCTCCCTTAAAGGGTGAGGTTCATTTTAATGATTGTTCTTTATAGCCGATGAGATGGGAGGAGAAACAAGAGGGCAAAAAGAGCTTCCTGGGTTCTCTGAATTTGAATTATGGGCCTTGTAATAGGAGACAAAAGGACATACCTGAACCAGGTCCTTTCCTGAATTCTTTAACAACAAGGGGTGCTATTCAAAAGAGGGGGTGGATATCTATGACTTTGATATTATGTAGGGAGGAAAATGTATCGGGAGCAGGATCTCAGGGGTGAAACAGATGGGGCACCATGTTCTGGATGAACAGGGGTTAAGAGTCCGGATTCTTGGTTTCTGAGGGTAGGGCAGAGTTAATTCCTCTGATATCTGAGTTTTGGTCCCTCCCCTTCCGAAACTGGTTGGACAGCTTTCCTGGGTTTCTTACCTGGGCCACTCCTCCTTTCTTCCTGAGACCTGAGCAGGCCGCTCACCTTCCAGTTGCCCTTCCCTTCCCTTCTCTCTGTTTGTAGATCAAACATTCCTCATCTTCCTCACGCTCCCTTCCAATTGCCCTTTCTTTGCACTTACCTGCGACTTGCTTTTTTTATTTTTCTGTAGCTCTTTTTAAACCTTCCTTCTAAGCTATCTCTCTCTATCTTTCTCAAAACTTGACAAAAATAAAGTGATCCTGTTCAAGCGGGCGCCCCAACCTGATGGGTTCCTCGGGACTTGGCCGTTGCCGGCTGGCACTGGCGTTTGCCGTGCTTATGGACGCTGCGGGCACGGGGGCCCTGCTGACGGGCATCTTTGCCAGGCTCCGGCTCCGGGGCCGCGATTTTGGGGACCTTTTGATCTACTCTGGAGCAGTGCTCGTGTTCCTGAGCCTACTGGGCTGGATCATGTGGTATACAGGCAATATTGAAATTGCACCTGAAGAACTGGCAAGGGATTATAGTGCCAAGAGAGGCACACTGGCCCGGCTTGCCAGGAAGATCTCCCGGACGTGGTCTCGACGCCAAGGGAATGGGTTGGCCATGAGGACAATATCCAGCAGCCGGGAAGCCGCTTAGAGGTAATGTAGATTCCTTGCTTTCCATTACTGGTCTCCTTTGCCTATTCCTGTGGTCGCTAGCGTGGCCACCTGTTCAGCCTGCCCTTTGGGGATTGCCATGTTTTGCTCCACACAGTGGAAAGCTCACTTTACTCATTTCTGTGCCTCCTCTGACTATGAAAATGTACTGCAGTGGCTGGGTTTATTTCTGGTCAATTAGCAGCAAAATGGCCCTCTGGGGCCCATGTGAGGATGCATGATTTGATCAGAATTAGTAGCCTCCTGGGCATTATTTTTCCTCTCCCTGCTGCAAATCAAAGCTTGGAGAAAAAAAATTACCTTTTGGATTAGAATTCCCCAGATACCCCACCCATCCCAAGAGTTGTGCTTTCTTTAAAAGGAAAAAAAGTAGTTTAGAAAAGTAATTAGCTGTGATGAATAATAAACAGTTAGATTTATTGCACAAGTTTATGCAAATTCTAGTTGCATTACTGATTATGAATATGGAACCGGGAATTATTCTGGTACAGAAGTGCAATGAGATTAGTCAGGTGATCAGACTAATTGTCAGTTTCCTTACTCCTTGTACCTTTGCCGCCCGAGTTCCTTCCCCTTTGCAGCTCTTACAGGCTGAAGGTCCCTATTTGCCACAGAGGCTACTGAAAGCACAGTCTACTGTAAGTCATTGATAAGGCATGCACTTTCAAAGATCCTAGGTTCTGTACTCAGCATCTCGGGAGAGGCTGGGAAGGATCTTTCTCTAAAAACCCAGGAAGTTGCTGCCTGGCACTTTAGTTTAGTCCAGTGTTCTCCAAGCTGGTGCTTTTAGGATATGTTGAACCATAACTCTCTAAAGTGGATTGGGATGCTTTTAGTTGCCCACCACATCTGAAGAGCACCAGGCTGCAGAAATTAGAGCAAGATGGTGTAAGAATGGACTGCTTCCCGTTAATTGTCACTTAAAAGCTTTTTTAAAAAAACAACTTTACACATTACATCCATCCAATCTGTTCTTGTCTTCTCCCAGCCCATTACTCAGTACTGTAGTAAGCTTTTGACTGGAGTGCATTAACTCCCAGATTTCATTCCTGGCATCTGCAGGCTTGTGCTGTCCCCTGCCCCCCAGTTCATGGGTCTGAGAAAGACCTTGGCTTAGGAGCACTGCACTTGAGAGCCACTGGTTGTAGTGGGCACAATGGGGGATGTAGATACGAGTGTGCAGTTGGCAGTCAACACAGGACTACGGGATTCTGCCTGGCACTAAACAACAGTGAACCTGAATTAGTGACAAGCAGTGGTGGCCATCCACCTCCTGTTGGACTGCAGTTCCCATCATCCTTCACCTTTGTGTGTGCTGTCAAGAGCTGATGGGCATTGCAGTCCAAGAAGGTCACATATTAGCCATCCTAGTCCTATGTGTTATGGACAATGTAAATTAAGAATGATAGGTGGTTTGTTAAGGAAAGGGAATTTCGTTTCATAACAAATTCCCCTTTCCTTTGTAGTGAATGGCTAAGCGACACATTGAAACTTGAGGATCCAGGCATTCTGTCTTTATGCCCAAAACTGCACCTGTTCAACTGCTGCCTGCCAGGTAGCTGTTGGTAGGGTCTAGA